CAAGCTGGAATGTCTACACTGCAATTAAACAGCCTCTTAAGCTGAGCTCCATGAACCAGAATCAGCTCACACAGGCCAGCCACTGATTTTCTAAAGAAATGTTCTTTCTCCTCCTTTGCTTGCTGGCCAGTTCTTATGACATCTTTCTATCTGACTGTAGGCCTAGGGGGGCTTTTCTGGAATGTGGTTACGGTTGTCTGGCCGTACGTGGAAACCATTGGAGTGTGTGGAGATGTTATTCAGAATGAAGACCCGTTTAGGTCCTTGCTTGCTTTTCGGAAAGCTCTAGAAGAATTTGTTAGGGAAGTACTGGTGATTCAATAGTCTAGTCTATTTGAAAGAGTAATAAGCATGATGGGAATGACATCCTCATATAAAGTCTTCTATCTTAGAACACTGTTAAACGGATGTGGGTTTGGATTCCTGACTGATGCAGAACCTGAGGTATTTCAAATTGGAGTAATTGAAGTAGGAGACTTGACTCTGTGTTGGATCTTTGGTGAACGTTTATTATTGCGTGTAGAATTGCCTGTTTGCTCTTTCTTCTTTGTCATGTTTCTCATGTCAAATAAAAATTTCTTGGCTTTTTTTTTTTTAAGGCAGCAGAGTCAGATCTTTGTACCCAAGCCATGCAGTCCCTTTCACAATGACCTTGAGCAATTTTTTTTATAGTTTCCACTAATTATTTTTTAAAGTTTCTCCCCAGCTTGTTCTTCTCCTGTCCTCCCAACTGCGAGGTACAAGGAAAACAACTGATCAAACCCTTCCCCCACTAATATCATCAAAACAGAAGACTATACTATGTCAGAATCCAGGCTGCAATCCTAAATGACCAATTCCTAACAAACCCACAATGCTGGGTTAATTTTGCATTGCCAGTCATATTGTACAGTTCCTATTTAGCTTTTATTTAAGGATCCTGTATTCAAGCACACTTTTTTGTTTGTGCTATTAATACTTTGCTGGTTCACTTGAACAAAGCCATCATGCACAGAATGTGTCATGCCGTGGCCGTCCAAAATAAAGCTGGTGGTTGAAGTTCTTGCTTACTAACCTTATTGCAATGTCCTCTTAAATCTTGAATTTAAAGAGAAAATGTAATAGCTTGCATACAGATGTTGGTGTTTCTTTTGGTCAGTTTTCTAAGAAAGGTTGTGTTGAATGAGGTACAAGACCAGTAAATAAGTGTCCAAATCACAAATACTTTAGATTTAATTATCAAGGTTGCTTCATATTTCAAAGTAATAAATATACCACCTATGTATCCCATAATTGGTTACTGGGCAAAATTATCTGTTTCAAAGGTGCTTCTAAATGCCCCAAATTCCCCTCTTCCTTCCCCCTACCCCCCCAGATACTTACATGTATCTGCAGTTAGATTCAGTGGGCGATGAGCACCTGTATCTGAAGGTGGAATATGGTCCAAAGTAGAAAATATGGCAGGGCAACATGTCTCATTCCTGGGTTTTCCTTTTCTCCTGCAAAAATAGGTGTTGATTAAAGGGTAACTCATCTGAATCTAATTTTGTTATGGAATGAAGACTGGAGTTTGGAAAGCAGTTGGAATTGCAGGGAAGGTGTTTAACAGACAGAAGTTGACTTCGTGGCTCTCCCTGTTGTTGAAGCTAGCTTTAACTCACATTTATAACTTTGCTCTGTAATACATTTTTTGGAGGAGAGCACAGAGAGGGAGGGAGGAGTACCACAGTGTATACAATAACAGTAGAACATTTATTAGCTAGGTCAATGCCATTTTAAATTGTATCTTTCTCCTACAAGTTTTCCAAACCTTCTCTTAAAATCGCAGAAATCCTTTAGAGTCAGGATGTTTATGTGGTTAAAGAGCCGCACAGGGAGCCAGAACATATGTGTTCTAGTGACAGCTATGTCACTGACTGTAACATTGGACAGTTCACTTAAACAGTCTGCACCACATTCTGCGGTCTGTAGTGTCTGGGACAGTAGTACCTACTTCACAGAGCCATTAGGTTTAACCAATGGTTATAAAGCTCTTTCAGATCTTAGGAGGAAGATACTATTGAAGTGCAGATAACTTATTATTCAGTTCACTTCTTTATCAGATTATCAACGTGTAAACTAAACCAATGCAAAGTCAGTAGTGCTGGTGGAATTTACCAAATGCAAAACATATAATGCCTCTAAATTCTCAACGTGACATTTCCTGCTATGATTGCACAAGTGAGCCAGTCTGCTGGGATGTTAGAACTTCCTGAGTTATAAATAGAAGAGATGGGTATCATTTACTTTCCGTCTTCAAGGACTATCTTACTGGTTTATTGGTGGAAGTAATAATATTTCTGGCATGGTCCTCAGCGAGTTATATATTTGCTGATGTTAGCTGTTCACACTTAGATTGACTTGCCTATTATTGCATGAGTTAGTGTGATCGTTAGGTTGCCTGGATCTCCAGGAAGCTATTATTGGAGTAATGAAACTATGCTCGAGGTTGCAGTAGTTCTTGTTGCTGTAGATTGCTCTGCTCTTCCAGATCCCACCCACATAGCAATCTGATGGTGTCTAGGACTAATGTGAAACTGACAGCTAGGGTTGTGAAGACCTGGGTATTGATTTATGAAATATTTAGATTCCCTTTTATGCTGGGGGAAGGGTTGACTCAGGATGTGAGCGACTGCAAGGCCTAGGTCTCAAACCCAGGCCTCTGTAGCTAACACCACCATGCTGCTACCCAGCAGCAGCTATAACCAGCTCACGCTCCACAAGCCACGACCCGCTGTATCCCATGGATACAGACCATGGGAAGTTCTGCCTCAAGGGGTCTGACAGGCAGCAGCTTCATGGCTCTTGATTGGCTCCCCGCCCTATATAAGCCCACGAGGCATTCCAGGAAGTGTCTGGGCAACAGCCGTGATCTCCTGTTGCTGTCATGACCATTCCTGCTCCCAGTTCTTGAACTCCTGGCTTCAACCTCAGCTTGATTTGGACCTCGCTTCTTGACCCAGACCCTGAAACCTGATTTGGACTCTGCTCCTTGATATCAACCGCAGCCTGGAACTTGACTACAAACTCCACTGCTACTCTCAGCCTCAGGTTTGACCCTGCGCTGACCTCGGTCCCAATTATCCTTGTCAAAATCCTGACAGATACTCTGTCTGCCGCATTCTGGGCTAGTAGTGACAAAGCAGTAATTTGATGACTATTTGGTGGCCTGTGTGGAATGAGTTTGATCTCAGAACAGTTGACAATAAATAGATGAGGCATTGAGCTCTAGGAGTTATGTCTCCCGGGTTCTACTCTCAACTATACGTTGCTATCTCATTGTGTGACCTCAGTCAAGTCGGGACTGCTCCATACTTGTCCGTGAGCGCTGCTTATGTTGTCTGAGAATAGTGATGAGGGCGTGGAGTCCAGATGACTGAATATGATGGTTCAATCTCTAGGTTTTTATTGAGTTTGTGAAAAATGTCCATTGTTCTGGGCAATTCTGTGGCCTGATAGCATGGCCTTAAAAATGACCAAAACGAGCATTTCAATTCACATGAGACCTGATTGTAAACATTTAAAAAAACCTAACAAGGTGCTGTACTCTGAGAAAGTGATATTACCCCCGTTTTAGAGGAGAGGAGAATATAAGGAGATTAAACAAACAAAATCATTTTGCTTCCTCATCTCCATGGTACTATGAAGGTTTGAGGACGGTTTCAGTAATAATGAAGAGAATATGAAAGAGCATTCAGCGCTCGTGAAACAGAAGATTTTGTATGGTGAGAGAAGTGTCTATTCAAGGTGTACAAATCATGTACAGTGACCGCAAAACCTGAGTGTGAGGAGCTGCTGAAAAGAGGCACTCGTTTTCAGAAGAGAGAGAAAGAGAAGATAGAGAAGAGAACAAATGAGTGGGTATTGTAGCAGTCCAGAATTCAGCTGTCCTTGGAAGGTTCAAAGAAAGAGGCTGGAACATTTAAGGCACCTAAAATATCAAGACGACATGGAGGTCTGTTGCGAAATGAGAAGCCCGTGTGTAGCTCAAAGAGGAGGAGGAGAAGCAGGGATTAAACAACATTGGAGTGAGTCTGTGAGCAGCAGCTGACTAAAAATTGTGTTAAGAAAGCCTGGCTGTCTTCATAGGTGAAGCTGGTTCTTGATGGTATCCTCTGTTAGAGACTAATTTACCCCATCAAGGTTTCTGGAATTGTACATGTCTGGCAGCAGCTTTCGATGGCATGTCAGGCATACTGTTCCTTCCAGACACGTTACAAGAATGTTTAGGGGAATGTACCCAAGTATGTTTGCCAGTGCTGAAGTGAGTAAGTTACATTCAAGAATTTCATGTAGCTCTGGAGAGACGAAAAGAACATCTATTTAGGGACACGGCTGGAGTTTTCAGTGAGGAGTATGTAAAGCAGCCTAGAGAACAGGAAACAGTTCCCTACGGGATTAACTGAACAAGTTCAATATGTTTTAGATACTCAAACAGAATTTCCTGTCCCAAACATACTACTTCACCGTAATCTGCCTCATTTCATCATTTTACTGCTTGTTAATCTGTGCTCAGGAAGTAGACAGGTAGTTTACTCATCTTGAGAGTTTCAGTTTCCCTGTACAACCAGAGTATATTTCACCCTGCTCTTTGCAAAAACTACTTTTTTCACTTCACTCTATCATTATCAGACTAACATGCCTGCTGCTTCCTTAACCATTTTTTACTAGATAAGAAAGATTTAGATTAGATTTGAAAGATGGAACCAGGCTAGCCAATGCCTTTTGAGCATGGGAGCGGGAGGAATGTAACTCCTATGCACAAAGAACAAGGACTAGGAAGAGAATTAATTACTCCACTGCAATGATTAATTTTTGTTTTATGTCAACTTTACACCCTATCATTGCAATTTCTACTAACAGTGAATATCTGTCTTTGAACTACATGCTTAGGCTTTTAGAGTTCATTAATTATCATAATTGCTAACAACTGCTTGGGTTTGAAGGTAATTCTGTTCTTTATTTTCTGGTTCAAACTTTAGGAAAAAATAAAGCTTGATGCTGAAAGGGAAAAACTAGAGAGGCTTCAGGAGCTTTACTCCGAACAGAAGACCCAGCTTGATAATTGCCCTGAATCCATGAGGGAACAGTTACAGCAGCAGCTGAAGAGGGTCAGTAGCAAGTTTCAAGATTGCACAAACTTTTTTTTTTATTGCTAAGTTAATTGTAATATATTCTATCTCATATATGCAAAGAAGCATCTGCAAACTTTTTGCACTTAGTTGTAAGGGTTAAGTATTTGTTTCAGTGCATTCTTAATTAATATGTTGCATGGTGACAATTGAGTAGAATGCAAATCAGTGGATTAAATTTTTTTTGTACTATTTTAAAAGCTGTAAACCAGTCACATATAATTAACAGCCTGCGCCTGTTGGCTGATGTGAAAGCTGATAAGAATTGTGATATTTAGATGGACATTAGAGCATCACCCTGTAACTGAACACGCAGAGACAAATACTTGATTTCAGTAATTAGGATAAACTTAACACTCCTTGCTATTTGACACAATTATCTGTTGCTTTTTTGCCACACTGTAAACTGGTCTCTGTGTGTTGCTGTGCATACTTATTTTCTTCAATACATAATTTAGTTTTTAATCTGAATCATGCATTGAAAATGTCATTCCTGAGGTTGTGTCTGCACAATTGATTTACATATCTGAGTTACTCTTTCATTCTTTGCAGTGGCACACTTGCATTTTATTCAATACTTATACAGTCCAACTTGACTTTATAGCCTGTAACATAACAAAGTGAAAGTACAGTCTAAGTATAGTTAGGTACCAAAAAGACTGTAAAAACGGCATTGTGGGGTTCTTTTCTCTCCGAGATCTCTGAGGCTAGCATTTGGAAATTGTTTTTCTTCGTCTTCTATTCAGTTGGCACATGTGGTTGTTGAAAGGGTTAGTGAGACAATATGAACCAATGTGCTGTTAGTGCACTACTGTCCTTCTATCGTCTTTGATGGGCTAGGAGACTCAGCCCCATCCCTATCCTGGTGGATGCTGACTTGGCCTCAGTTGTTTACTCTTAGCTGGACCACAGCAATGTGATATACCTGGGCTTTTAAGTTTTCAGCACTTAGGAAACTCTAACTTGAACAAATCGCTGCAGCATGTTTCCTCAACAGCATTGGCTACCGCAAGCACATCAAACCTGTCTTCTGCTCTCAACACTGTCTTCCCATAGACTATCAAATCAGAGTCAAGGTTTCAGTCCTTACCTTCAAGGAGTTCCATGGCCTGGGCCCAGCATATCTAAAACATCAACTGAGGCTCTGGGATGAAGACTGTGGTCAACAACTGTGCTCCTCTGGGACAATGGGACTTTCTGCCATTAGGGTAAAGCTCATCTGTGCAGAAAACAGTTTTCTCTGGGGCTGGTCCAAGACTGTGGAATGAACTCCCTAAAAGCTAAGAACCATCATAAACCTGACCACCTTCCACTCCAAGTGCAAGGTGCACTTCTTTGACTTTGCCTTCTCTAAGATAAACAAATGGCTAGCAATGTGTGTGTATATATATTACATGTAAAAAATCCAAAACAAAACATTCACGTCTTCCCTTGGGGAGAGGATGAAAGGACAAAAATGACAGATGTCAGTCACTTTTTTAATCCACTACTGGAAAGCACTCAGACACTGTGGTGATGAGCATGTTGTATGAAAATGTTCTGAATAGAAAATTCTTTCAAATGTGTGTATGCACAGGTGATTCCATCTTTTTATGTTTAATTTCTGTGAAATAGAATTCTGTGTAATAGTGGGATGTTGGGAGTAATTGAGGAAGTAACTCCACAGTAAAGATGAGTCATGTTTATGATGATGCTAATCCTAACTAAAGAAATCAAGTTTCTATTTGTTCGGACAGATTTGTGGAATGAAATTGAATAATAATTTTAGACTGTGATTCATAGAACCAAATTAGAAGGAACTGCAATGGTCATCTAGTCTAACCCTCTGCCAAGATGCAGAATTTGTTGTGTTTAAAAAATCGTCCAATACAGATGGCTATCCAGCCTCCTTTGGAAAACCTCCAGTGAAGGAGCTCCCACAACCTCCCAGGCAGTTTATTCTATTGTCCTACTGTTCTTACAGTTAGGAAGTTTTTCCTGAGATTTAATGCTGTTAAGTAACTGTTCTCTGATCACTGTAAATGCAAGATTTTTTTTGTGTTTGTATGTTTGCTTGTCTTTAAAGGATGCTGATCTGTTGGATGTAGAAAGCAAACACTTTGAAGATCTGGAGTTTCAGCAACTTGAACATGAGAGCAGGTTAGATGAGGAGAAAGAGAACCTGACACAGCAGCTCCTGCGTGAAGTAGCTGAATATCAGCGCAGCATTGTCAGTAGAAAGGTAAAAGGATTAAAACTCAACTCTTTGCTTGATGTGCTTTTTTAAAGTCAAAGCACCGTTGTTTCACCATTACCTGTTTTGTTGCTGATGCACATAAAACAGATTTAGGTGAATTCAGAGTTTGACTGTCCTTAGGAAACATTACAAAACCTTTCTCTGAAAAAGCATCACAGCAAGAATGACACTCATAATGATGACAACCTCATCTATCCAATCACACTCCACTCTAAAAAGTAAATTAAACTAAGGAACAAAGCCCTAGAATACAAACTCATCTCCACCCCCAAAATAAAATAAAACAAAAATACAAATAACAACCACAAAAATATCCCAAGCAAGGCTATTATCCTTAAAAGGTAGGAGAGCCAGATATTCATGATATTCACTAGGGCAGTAGTGGGCAACCTGCAGCCCATGGACTGCATGCGGCCCATCAGGGTAAGCTGATTGCAGGCCGCAAGACGTTTTACGGACATTGACCGTCTGCAGGCACGGTACCCCACAGCTCCCAGTGGCCACAGTTTGCCGTTTCCAGCCAATGGGAGCTTCTGGAAGGGGCGACCACGCTTCCTGCAGCTCCCATTGGCCAGGAACAGCGAACCGCAGCCCCTGGGAGCTGCGGGGGGCCGTGCCTGCGGACGGTCAATGTCCACAAAATGTCCCGTGGCCCGCAATCAGCTTACCCGGCCGCATGAGGCCCACAGGCTGCAGGTTGCCCACCACTGCCCTAAGGAGTTCACTCTTTGCACTTTATGTAGGAAGCTCTCTGATAATATGATGATGGGCAGCAGCACCTTTACTATGATCACCTTTATTAACTTTTCTCTTTATCTTTAAAGATAAATTTACTAAGAGGTGAGAAGTTGCATTTCTACCTGTAGCAGGACCACCTACCCAGTCTGGCTTTGGGTTAGCTCCTATCTCATTTTCCTCCTTGGATTCCCCAATAACTTCGACACAGACTTTCATGTGTCAATGAACACTCCTTCTTGGGGTCTGGGTCTGGGAAAACAAGAACTCCCACAGAGCCTTTGTAGCTGGTTCATGACCCTTTCTGCAATGTTCTTAGTCCTATACCTGCCAAGACTTCCCTGTAGCAGACTTGCCCTCCATGCTCCAGCCTTCTTATCTAGCTCCCGATGTCTTGAGCTTGCAGCCCCTCTGCCTGGGAGCTAGGGAGAGTCTTTATGTATAAAGCAGCTCCAGTAGCCTTCCTACTCCTCTGCATCTCTTCCTGCTCTCTATTGAGTAGTAACTCCCAGGGTTTTCTACAGGGAGTCTCCCTTCTCTTCCCTTTGACTCTCTACAGGCTTCTCTTTTATCTACACCCAAGAGGCCTGACTTTAGTCACATGATCTGCCTATCATGTGGCATTACTCATTTTGTACCTCTGTGCAGACAGGTGGGTCCACCACCCCTTAAAGGGCCAGTCACCCTGGGACACATCCCCTCATACCACCCTTATACTGGGGTGCAATCACAATATATCAAGACCCAGATCATCTACTGTGTATTGTCTTGATGTTTTTATGCAGGCCTCCCCAGCTCTGTCTATATAAGGTAGAAAAAATATTCAAACCCTCTTTCCCCATGTCAGCTTTATGCTTACCAGTTGAAGAGCCCCTAATGGTTACTGCTGTTTGTTATTACTCTGTGCACTGTAGTGCCTACTCAGAAAGACTTGAATGCCCTATGCATGTAAAATCCAAAGAAGTTACCAACCTAGGGACGCAAACAGGTGAAATAGATTTGAGTGAGGTTGCAGTCTTAATGCTGAAATATTTGATTGTACCAGATGGATCTTCAGATGTTTATGGTTTTATGGAGATATTCGGCAAACATCCAAAACTGGATGGGATAAGAGACAGAAGCAGCCAGAATCATTGGTGGACAATAAGAAGCAGTAGGGAATGTAGGAGATGGGGTTGGTCCTGCATTGAGCAGGGGGGTTGGACTAGATGACCTCCTGAGGTCCCTTCCAACCCTGATATTCTATGATTCTAAACCAGAGATGGATAAGCTAACACTGTGACAAGGCACAGGTAATGAAACAAGTATTTATTTAAATGAGGGCAGTCGTGTTCAAGATCTTCTGTTTTAATTTTCCCCTTCACTTGTGGAACAACCTGGAGTATAGTAAGATAAAAAATTTAAAACCATCATTGCTTTTGTTTAACTGTTGCAACCTCAATAAATGAACCAGATTGCTGCTTCAATCTTGCCCATCTCTTATCTGTATTTTAACTAATGGAAAATTATGCAATAAAATCTCAGCATCATGGCAGAATATAACTTGTTCTAGTTCAACACAATGAAGTAGACTGAGTCCTATGCTCGTGTGATAAAGCCTTATAGCATAGCACTATAACATGGAGAAGAGAAAAAAACAATTATTTATTTTCACAGATAGGGGACTTTCCATATGCATACACACACACACAGTTAGAGCATAAATACTTTTGCTGGAAGGTAGCAACGTGACACCACTTTATTTCTTAGAATTCAGAATGATGACACACAAGAACCCCAAAAACAGAGGTGCAACTCAAGCCATTTTACTCTGGGCTGGCTCTCTGCAGACTGATGGATCACATGCTTCCCTACAGAGACTCCAAGCCTGCAAGCAGGACCAGGAATCCCCTTCAAATTGAAGTGATAGCTTGTCATTTTTAATAGTTTTCCATGTACCACATTAAGGATTCATACATTTTTAATAGTTAAAAATTCTTTTCCAGTAGTTACAATCTTAACTTTAAGAAATAGTTATTAATTATCACAGTTCTGTTTTGCCAAGTTTATGGATGAAATACATACGTTATATTTGCTAGCATGTGCACTCTCTGAACAAGATCCATGCTGCATATATTGTCCTTTCAAACTTAAATATGTAAAATGTGGTTATTATATTTGTATAATAGGAGAAGATTTCTGCTCTCAAAAAGCAAGCCAATCATATCGTCCAGCAGTCGCAGAGGGAACAAGATCATTTTGTAAAAGAGAAGAATAACTTAATAATGATGCTGCAAAGAGTAAGTGTTTTCTTGTCTTTGTAGAATTTTTTTATATTGTTGTTTTTTTAAAAAACATCTAACTGTTACATGGAAGTTGGAAAGACAAAATTATCTCAACAGGCTTCTGTTTTCCAATAGTATTAAAAAAACCCACATTATTACCAGCCGGTTTCCTAACTAAAAATTGTAGTGGTGGGTTGTCTTATAAGAGGTTTTATAGAGATTACCTCATAATGAACAAGGTCTTTGCATTAAAAATATAGTAAACAAAAGCTGTTCCTCTGTTTTAGGATTATATATATATAAAATGCCAACATTTCATCCATCAAAGGCTATCTGGGAATGTACACAACCTCTGCACCTCCCAAACTATCAACATATAAAGGCCAGCAATTGGCCACAAAATCAGACTACTTGCCATGACCAGCTTCTGGCTAATAAAATTCTAGAATGAAAAAATGTATCTTTCTCCTGGGGCCTAAATTTTGGTTTAGATCACAAGGAGGAATCGGATTCTATTCTCTGAGAACACCTTGCTCTCATCTGTCTGCTGGAGACAGAGCTCAAGAGCTTTCTGGTTTGATCACAGCTATTGGGAAAGATTTTTAAAAGTGACTAGTGATTTTGGGTGTCTTTGTTTTTTGTTTTGTTTTTTGTTTTCCAACATGGTACACTTTAAAAAAGGGCCTGATTTTCAGAAAATTTGGAGCCCTCACCTCTCAAGTCAGGCTTCTTTACTGTGTCAAGAAACCCCAAAACTCAGACACCCCAAATCACCGGTCGCTTTTTACAATCTTTGGCGATTGCGATAGGACATATAGGGTGTGATCCAAAGTTCACTGAAGCCAAAAGGAGGCTTTCTGTCAACTTCAGTGGGATTTGGATTGGTCGTAAAGTGTGGGACTGCTAGGTCTCAGGCCATTGGAGCTTAAATCCCAGATGTGTGTTGGGAACTGTTGGAGAGTTTCAGTTCTGCTATAAATAAATAAAATAAAAACTGCTATTGCAGTTCTAGCCACACCACACAGTTTCCTTATACCCTTTAAATAAATAACTGGCATTCATTTTAGGTGGATAAATATTCATTTCTGAAATAAACACAATGTCTATTCCTGACAGGAAAAAGAGAATCTTTGTAATCTGGAAAAGAAATACTCTGGACTTTCTGGAGGAAAAGGATTTCCTGTCAGTCCTAGCAGTCTAAAAGAGGTAAGCAGTGTTAACTGCTGTTTTCCTGAACCTCTGGTAAGCTTAATGTTTATTAACATTGTATGCAATAGTGATTTAGAGTTTGGCAAAACTTGTAAAATATGCAATGCATTGTTCCTGTGATTTTCAATATTCTGTTCTTGCTATGATTAGGAAACTTAGCTGTATTACTTCTGGAAGTCCAAATTAAGCCAAAAAATAGCTTATCAGATGTTTTTCCCATTCATTAAACTTTTGCCCTGGATAAATTACCATTTTTCATTTGTTAGAGAATCTGTTTTTCTCTAAATAAATACTTGAACCTAACTCACATGAGGAAAGAGAGATCTAGAAACAGCTAAGGACAAGTGCGGCTAAGTTACAGTGTTCTTGCTCTTATATTGTATATTTTACATTTTTTTTGTCACTGACGTCTCCTTTTTTGGGATAGAAAGAATCCATTATAAATGTTTATTTCAGCTTTCCATCATTTAAACACTGAGTTAAAGACTTTGAGCTATTGTAGCTCTATTTATTTAATCATTGTTGGCAGTCAAAAGGGAAGAGGGTCAAAAGTTTTGGGTGAGGTATTGAGTAAGTTAGGGGTAATGTGAAGGAAAACCTAGACCTTGCTGCACTTGTGAAGCTCCAAAGCTCTGAAGTTATCGTTGTGAGTCCTCACAACCCACACCTTTGAATTGGGTAAGGAGTCCGAGGGGAACTGAACCACAGTCCCTACTTTTTGTAGTGATCCAGCCAGTTCATATCTTAAATACATTGATTCAGTATTGCTATCATCTTAATTCATCATAATGAAGTTTCTGTGTCTGTGGACTGCAGTTTGTTGTAAACAGAAAATACTAGCATTTTGAATAAATTGTCAAATATCTAAGGCAGCTTCCTTAACTTAGAATCACACTTGAGTTTCCTGAATAACATCTGGCTTGAGATTAAGTGAATAAAATCCTCCATCTTCTAGTGTGTCTTTGCAATGCTTCTCCCTGCAGCCAAAATATTCTTTTGCTCATTCTTAAAGATCCCTTTTAAAAGCAGAAATACTGTAGCAATAAGTTGTAGCTGTTCTGATCATCTTAATTCCAAAAAAGGACATATTTTCATGTATTAATGAATCAGTGCAGTTTTATAACCATATTCCATTCTTTCACCTGTTTGTCTTAAAAGTGGCTCACTGTTTCAATTTTTTTTTTAAATATATTTCTGCCTTCTTTTTATGACACTATTTCAGCAGTGACTTCCCTCCTTTAAAATGGCCTTTTCCACAGCTCAAGAGTTGGGGCATTTGACTTATTTATAATCAACACATAGAAGTTGTATTTTATTTTTGAAGTGAATTTATTTGACAGCACTAGACACTGAATTTCTCTTGATATCAGAACATGTACATCAATTGTCCTGCCATTGTGCCTCGCCTCCAAGTGTAGCATAGTCTCGGTACTTTTTCAGTCAGCCCTTGGCCCTCTTCATCTAAGATTGCTTATAGAGATTCAAATTGCAATGGCTACTTTTAAGATGTGGACTCTTGTCCATTAGGAATCAGACTGATACCCATCAGCATTTTATATGAACCTCCAAACAGCCATCAGATGAAAGCAACTTTTAGACACTGCTAATTTAAGCAACTATTATTAGAGTAATTTACAGAATAACACCACCATGTCATAATACCAATCCTATGAGCCATCCAGTCCCCACAAATTTAGTTAAAAGGTGTATCAGGAAATAAATAGGGATGGGTTTAAAAAAAAAAAGTGAAGAGAGGAAAATCCTAAGCATTAAACATCCACAAATAAGACTTTTGTTTTGGAGGAAATGCTAATGTTATGTTTAAAATCTAGGTGGTGGCTCTAGCTAAATGATTCAGATTTAAACATACTTAAACAAAACAAGAAGCACTGATGGTTATACTTTGATAAAGTGTCTTGCTCACTTACAGTTGGTTTGCCTTTTGGTAACACAAATGTATTTGGAATGACCAAAAACATTCTTCAAAATTAAAGTATTCAGTATTTTAAAAATATAATTGTTATTGCTGTTTTAATGAAATATTTTGATAAGATCACAGATATTTGGCTGTATCACTCCAAACTAACCTTCATTGTACTGGATACATTAACACTCTTGCACGTCTTTTGGCTTTTACTCCTTTTTCGTGTTTAATTTCTGAATTCCTCCTTTTAGGGTTATATCAGTGTAAGTGAAATTAGTGAGCTGTATGGCAATTCCACGAATAGATCCCCTTCCACTCAGCCCCCCACAGATGCTGACGCTGTTGTCACTGAGCCTTCCACGGCTGTGCTGGCGAGCCAGCCACAAAATAAAGAGGTTTGTTTGAGAGACATTTCCCTTTGTTTACATCATTCTTTCACAGCTATTTTTTTTTAATTTCTAGTGTAATAAGTTTAACCCTAAAACAAACTGTAGACTTAGCGATGAAGGGTCAGATGTTGGTCTGACAGAAAAGGCCAAAGGAATTCTCCAATTATAAAATGTGTTTGGTTTTGGATTTGGGATTTTAGAGGCTAAGAAGAATGCCCCAATCAGAAATAAGTGACATCATTGCTTTTCATATAGCAGGGGTAGCATGTCCTTTGGAAAAGTAGTCTCAGGTCATATAATATAATGATAATTTGTATGATGGAGGTGAAGTGTTGATTTCCTATCTTATTGTAGATCATTTTTGTGGGGTGAATCTGTGCAGAAGTAATATCTATCTTTAATATTTTGGGTACAGATTGATACCTTCACTTTTCTTTGTTGTTCCAATCTGTTCTTTCTGGCCTTTTTTGCGCTGTGTCACTTTTTGCTCAATCTTTACATTGTTTAAAAAATAAACAAGCCTCTCTGTAAAAATGGAGTAACTTTGATTAAAAAATTCCTATCTTTGTGCTGCTATAGTTTAGCAATAAACTTGGTATTTAGCATTTTTACATTGCTTCAAATATTTAAATATTTATTTTACCAGTTCCAGCATAATATGTACTTTCATTCTAAACTCTCCCAATGAAATATTGTTATAAACTGCAGCTTGTGTGTGCCATGTGTATTGAGTAATTCCTAGTAGAAAACTCTGTGTGTAATTTCTCTCTTTCCTATAAAGCTAAGATCATCTCTCTGTTCTGGATTTGTGTTTCCTCACTCTCTTTCTCCTCGCTCTATTGCTCAACTTCCATCAGTCCATTGGCCTGAGGTCATGGTTACACATGTAGATCCTTTTCCTTTATCTGATACACCTCCTCCTCTCCCAGCTAAGAAACACCGCAGGCAACAACAGGTAACAAATTAAAAGCTGATCATCTTGGATTTTTTTTATGGTGGCAATGAAGTCATTTACACATGAATTTTTCATGTGATGTGATTATCTAAGAATCCATAATTGATTCAAACTTTCAGAATTCTGTACTTAAAGGTTTTGCTGAATTTTTATGAATTATTACTGAGTGGTGTCAAATAAATAGTCTCTTCTTGATGGTGGTCTGTAAATGCGTTTAGTGATAGAGACATGCACAATGAGATGCGAAAAGATCTCATAATAGCCCGTGGCACTTTACATATTGTATGTCTGTTCACTTTTAAAACAAATGAATAACATAGTGGAAAATGCTGACACTTGAGAGCTATCTTAATTGTTGGAAGCTCTTGCAACAGTAAAGTGCAAGTGGTTAGAGCTACAGTCAAATTTAAATGGAGGGTTTTCTATTACCTTCCAACAATGGACTCTCCAAAAATATATTGGCTTTAAACTACCAGTTCATTAGCATTTGGAGGGGTTTATTTTTCCTTTGCCTAATAGGATGCCACTTGTAAACTTAGGCTTTGTCTACACTACATAGCTTTTAGCGACATGGCCGTTAAAAGTTTGGCAGTGGCTGTTTGTCGGCACTTTTACAAAATACTTCCATCCCCTATGAGCGGGGTTTGTGTTGTCAACAGGAGAGTGCTCCTGCCGATAACGAGCTGCTTACACTGCCACTTGCTGTGGCAAAACTTTCGTCTTTCGGGCGGGGGCTTTTTTAAGCACCTGTGAATGACAAAAGTTTTGTCGTTCAATTGGCTATGTAGGCAAAGCCTTAGACTCCTTGTGTTTTTAAAACAATAATTGGGTGCAGGGCCAACAATGTGTTCCTGTTCTTACAATGTTTTCTTAATCAACAGGCAGTGCTGATGTAAAATTACAGGCCCATTTTTATGTACAGTAATATTCAGTTGCAAATTGATGATTTAACATTAAGCTTTATTTTCTGTTTATGAAATATTTTTCATTCTGTGTGTGTGATATCCTACATTTTTGAGAGCTTTGTTTAAGATGAATCTCTTAACAACTCACCAGTATGGAAACAAATATTTAATTTTAAGGGTATGAAGAATTAAAACTGTTGTTTATTTCTAAAATAATCCCCGTGTCATTAATTTGGTCCACAATCTTCATAAAAAGAAATATGTTACAAGTTCCATTTCTATGTCCCATTGAATCTTGGAAATCACACCACTTTTATTTGGCCATTTATATGTCATAACTAGCAGAACTCATTAATGATAAATGCCTAAATGGGAACCCTAAGCACAGCACAAGCTTCAGAGAATCCTTAATGCTATTGTAAATTGAGAATAGTTGATAATTTTTATCTTTGGAGACAATTGGTTACTATTTTACCATGTACCATATCATTTTTATGACTAGTAATATGTTTTTAGTACTGCAGCAGCCTTTAAAAAAACAACAACAAATTCTGGACAAGATGTAAAACAGAATATTTAGCTTTAAAATGAGACATGTTCTTTACAGTGAAATTTTCAGACTGTAGATTTCATTATATTCTGTGTGAAACATAATTTACCAAACAGTTCAATTCATTTGGTCAAAACAGTGTTGCAAATTATATTTTAAGCACTTTAGAAATCTGGAAGAAAGAAAGAAACAGCACAAGGAGGGCACGTATTTGAGTGATACTCTACCCCGCAAGAAAACCACTCCTTCTGTATCGCCACACTTCAGTAGCGCTACTCTCGGACGAAATGTTACTCCTAAAGTAAGTAATATGCCTATATATAGTTTTTCCATTTCTAAAGTCCCACATGAAAAGTTAAGGAGTTAAGGTTGAGTAACGTAAGGATGTTGTAATTATCCCAAAAGTAAGGCTATGTCTACACTCTAAAACACTCTGCAACTGTTCCGCTGTAGAGCTTCACTTAGTACACTTAGTACAGTGATAGAAGGGATCCTCCCATCTGCGTAGATAATCCATGTCCCCAAGAGGTGGTAACTGGGTTGACAGAAGAATTCTTCCATCGCCCTAGTGCTGTCTACCCCGGGTGTTAAGTCAATTTAACTATGTCTCCCAGGACAGTGGCTTTTTCGCACCTTGAGAGACATAGGGTACGTCTTCACTACCCGCCAAATCGGTGGGTAGTAATCGATCTATCGGGGATCAATTTATCGCGTCTCGTCTAGACGTGATACATCGATCCCTGAACGCACTCCCTGTCGACTCCGGAACTCCACCAGAGCGAGAGGCGGTAGCGGAGTTGATGGGGGACCCGTGGCTGTCGATCCCGTACTGTGAGGACCCAAGGTAAATCGATCTAAGGTACTTTGACTTCAGCTACACTATTCATGTAGCTGAAGTTGCATATCTTAGATCAATTTCCCCCTCCCCCCCGTGTAGACCAGCCCATAGCCATGCCAATGTAACTTTTCAGTGTAGATAAACCCTAGATGTTACAAACCAGTAAATTCAGAGTTAAACTTAAAGGAAATCCAAACATATTAAGATAGGAAAAGGCACCAAAACAACCTTAATTCAAACCTGTAGTGATGTCATGCAATAACAGTTAATTTATGATAGTGGTTGCAATTCCAGATTAAACTGATTTTTAAAGAAACATTTAGAGTTCTGATTTTTCTTTTCCTCTTGGTGTTACTAGAAGGTGGAGATGAAACTGAAAATTGTATCTAGATTGTGGCACCATGAATCATTGTAGAGCAACCAAGAACCTTCATGTGATTTTAGGAGGAGAAGATACTTGAAAATATTTCAGAAATTGAGAACATGTACAACTAAAGTAGCTTATAGCTGATACTTTGTCATGAAATCCATATGAGGTATTAGTTTTGTTCGGAATTGCTGACTGACAAAGTTGTAAGGTGTGCAGTTTGTAAATAGCTGTTCACAAAATTTCATGCAGGGTCATTTACCACTAGGACAGAGCAACAGCTGTGGCAGTGTACTTCCTCACTGTCTGGCAACCATAACCAAAGAGTCCGAATCAAGAAGAATGCATAAAGGTAAAGTTATTTTAAAACACTTACTTTCTAGTCATGGGTATCTAATGTTCATTCTTCTGGAAAGTAAATCCCAAATCAGTGTATTTATAATCTACAGAGTTTACGTTAGGGCTTTGAAATAATATTTTTCCTTTCAATATGAAAATAGAAAGCTGCATATACTTCATGTATACTTCATGAACTACATGTTCAGACTTCAGCAAAAGACGATGTTAAAGATGTATGGTATTAAGCTTTATTGCAGGAGCACAGGCAATGGCTCCTTGTCATTTCCCATTTCAATTTAAAAGTACATAATTTTCACATATGCTGTAGTAAACAAAAAAAGTGCATTGAAGAATATGTATTGGGTAAACTGGTTAACTCCAACTAACTTGAGTGGGGGTGGGTTTTTTTGTTTGTTTGTTTTTGAGACAACTTATTAAAGATGGGTGTGTGTGTGTGTTTAGAAACATTATCTAATGTAGGGTGACCAGACATCCCGATAAAATCTCTGGTCGGGATGCAATTTGTCCCGATATTTTGCTCCGCCGGCGTTTTTTGGGTTTTTTTTTTTGCTCTGCCGGCAGCACTCGGCTTTTTTTTTTGCCCCCCTACCCCGCAAGGTCCCGATTTTCTTCCTCTGATCTGGTCACCCTAATCTAACGCCTTGATCTTGTAAATTACTCTTCATGGGCAGATACTTTTGCCAGGGTGGAATAATCAGGGTTTATGATTGTCCCTTAAAGAAGAAGATTTATAACAGAGTACAGTTTATTTTAATCTATCATAGATGTGTGTGCCTAAAAATATTGATTGTTGTAGCTTTGCTGGTGCAACTCTGAAATAAGGACATGACAATTCTGCATCCAATGTACAGTACTACTGTGAAACATGTCCCTGCAAGCCTTGGGGTTCTGTTTATTTTCATTCGTGCTCAATTTTTTAAGTAAAAATATGTTTGATTCTGTCAACTCTGCAAACTCAACTGTTTCTGAGATCTGAGAATCAATATCTGTTCTTTCTGGTATGTGCATCATTTCCAAAAATAAATATTCTACTGTAGAAATTTAATTTACAATTGTGTTAATTATGCATTAGCCAAAATAGAATTCATAGTACTTTTCCATCATAGTTTCCCATATCTGTGTTGGCTACTCAGGGCTAACAAGTGTTAAAAGCATTATTGTAGTCTAAGAAGATGCTTGTAGTCAGCCAAATCAACAGAGGTGACTGAACACACATGGAGCAGATTTGCTGAGTAAAATTGCACCATTTTTACATAGTCACCTTACAGAACTGAACCACAATTGTGGGTTTGCCTCTTAGGGTTCAGTAATCTGGAGGGCCTTGCACAAACTTTCTGTATTTTTTGTTTTGTTTTGTTTTGTTACTTCCACCCTGAAGTATTTCAGAAGCAGACACAAAAACAGCTAACTTAGCATGGAAAGCTTCTCTGTTGTGTATTTTGCAATACAAGATAGCTTACAAATGCACCCAGACATAATATTTGCTATTTTTTGTGACGTAATTTGTTTGCTTTGGCTTACAAAACATAAGAGACAAATATTAAGCAATTCTTTTAAATTAGACGATTACAATTTTTTAAAATTGGAATGATTTTTGCAAAGTTATTTCAAGACTGCATTTAGAGTAGGTGATGTGAAACAACTGTGAATAGTTAAAGGCTTTTTTACAAATTGAAGACGCTGGCTATTATGGGAAGGATAGACCCACTAATTTTGAAATTCCTTGCCCACCTTTTATGTTGCAAACTCTGCCAATCAAATTTCTTTTGTCAAAATGCAACCAAACTATGATATATGTGCCATACGAACAATTGCCTAATACATAGATCAGGAAAATGCTGAGAGAATGGGGAAGAGAATCAGTTAAATTAGTCAGTATAGTAGAGGTGTAGACTAAAAATATATAGTCTAATTCAAGACTGAATAAGCAGATGGAGAATACAAAAAAGAGGTATATTTGATACTGTGCAAGGTGCTTTTTTCGATGCCATCTGGAATAATACGAGCTATGGTGATTGCCATATCACAGGAAGATAATTATTGCCTTAAAAGAGGCAGCAGAGAGGATAACTGTGTGAAGACACTAAATTATGGAAAGAAGTTTAGGGGATTGGATTTATTCTCATTGGGAAAGAGGAAATTTCTTGATGGCCTAATTTGAAATGTTGAGGCATTATAAAGCTGTTGAGAGATGCTTTGCTTGCACTCACACAGGTTTTAAAAAGTGGGAGATATAATTAAAACTGAGGGGATCTAGGAATAAATGCAAAAAAAACCAGGCAGAACTGTCTCTGCTTCACTCTCCTTCCTTAGTGATATTTTTAATGTTTATTACCTTTTTGCTCAGATTCATTTTTTTGGAAGGAGTTTGAAGGATATAATTGCTTTTTTCTGTTCCTAAATTGTCTTACGGTTTGGGGAAAGTCCTTTAATCTCACAAATTGGCAACTAAATTGTTTGCAGAAACTTTTCTTTAGACAATTTGTTAAATACTCCTGTATGTTGAACAAATCAGTGAAGAAATACAAAAATTCATCGTCAAACAAGCATTCGGTGTGTGGAAACCTGAGGGGCAAGTTCTAAAACCTTTAAAAACAGGCACAAACAGGACTCCTACGGAATTTTGTGGGGAGGCCTATACCGTGAATATAATTTAGCCCATTCGGTAGAACTTACGTTCTCTTTAATAGTATCAATGGAGAATGTGTGTTGCCTTAGAATAGTGAAAATTGGGTAAAAAAAATCACTCATGCCCTAAGATTTAAACATAATTTTTAATTTAGTTTAATTATTTGTTATTAAGGACAGGTCAAATTCTGTTCTCGAATATGGCTCCCATTGATTCAGTGGAAGATAGATTTGTGTAACCAAGGCCCAAGTTCTGCATAACTTCACAAACACAGTTGAGAATGAAGAAAAATCAGGTGTGAGCAGAAGTTAAATTTATTCTTCTTTCTTTCCTAAATCCTGACAACTATATGATTTCCTTTCCTTACTATCATCCCTATTTTCTTTGCCAGCTCTCCTCGTATATAAAAACATAATTCATCAGAAAGATAAGCTTGGCCTTTCGACTAAAAACAAGTGTAACAGCTGTTGACTATTTGGGAAAGTTATATGCTGCTCTTATAGGGGGATTGATATGCTGATCTTGTACATCTTTCCCATTTCTTTTAATGACACTGAACCACCAGAAAAGATTAACTTGAGAGAAGCGAAGATTCTTGTACAGCCCAACACAGAGGGCAGGCTTATATAGTGGTATATAGGCTTGTGATATATAGACATTTGTGAGAACCAAAATATAGCTGTTGTCTAATTTTAGATCTGGCAAATGATGTCACCCCTCCTGGTTTACATGATCCTGCATTGTGCTACAGGACTTCACAATTGTTTGTTCCGTATATTGTGTGGCTTTGCAGAGATACGTAGTTTGTTTTTTCCCCAATAAATAAAGAATAGATATAAATATTGCCTGTTTGTTCAGCTTAAGTGGACAGATCAAGTGAACACATGTATAAAATTCTTTAGACATGTTAAAACAATAAAATCATGTATTAATCTTTAATATCCCCTACACTTCCCCCAGGAAGCTCATTTTGTTAGTACAGTATATGTAAAATGTAGATTCTAAACATTGTAAACTCGTGATGCATACTAAAACATCACTTATTTCACTTGCCTTCTCTCCGACAGTTGACAGGCTTGACGCTCCAGTGGGTTTCTGCGCTGAAAGTGATGTGTTGTGGGTGACATGATAGTCCCAGTTTATTGCTTCCAAAAGCATGCACAGTCCCATTGAATTTATTGTCATTATATATGCTTATGACAGTGGTGAATTATAGTTTTGTATGATGAATGCCTTTTTATCTTTACTATTTGGAGCATATACCATAAACATAGCACAGTGTCACATCAACCGCAATATTAAATAGAGTTGAAGTGCTGCTCAGGTGTTAACTGTGTTTCCAGTGGCTTACAAGCTTTCTTGGGGCTGAAATTATTAGGCCAGAGATATCTGTGTGTGCGTATGTATAATTCTGTAGAAAGTTATTCAGCTGTCTCTGGAGGAATTGACAGTTAAGCTAATTCAGAAATGTTTTTCTAAAGTGGTATTAAATTAAATACTCCTAAAATTATTTTTCTCTAATTTTCTCTCCAATTTCTACTTCACTTACCCCAAAAACATAAATTTGAAAATCCAAGAAAGTAAAATATAAATGTAAAGATGAATATTTTAATTTCACCAAAGTCAGGAAATGGAGCATTTTCAAATCCACTTCAATTTGACCATGTTGTGCATATTCATTAAGCTATATGGCTTTATGCAGGAATAGAAAACACAACAGATAGGCAAGGGGACTGACTTAAATTTCATGTGGGGACTGCAGCTTTGCATATCTTGATTCTGGGGCAGTTGATGCCTCATCTGCAAATAAATTTAAGACCAGGTGATGATGGTTTTCATTTGGAAGTATTTTCACAGATCCATTCATACTAAATGGACTTAATTGCAAAGACTATCAAAAAGGTGAGTGACAAGTAACCTGATTTAAAAAACTAGACCTCACAAGGAAATAACTAAGGCCTTGTCTACACTGGCAAGTTTCTGCACAGTAAAGCAGCTTTCTGCATTGTCACTCCTTAGGTGTGTACACACTGCCAAGCCACTTAGTGCGCAGAAACTGTAAAAAAAAAAAACCCACCCCAACGAGAGCTGTACAGCTTTCTGCACCGGGGTACAGCACCGTGGTGCCAGTGCTGCGATTACAGTGCTGCAATTGGCCTCCAGGAGGTGTCCCACAGTACCTATTCTCGCCTCTCTGGTCATCGGTTTGAACTCTACTGCCCTGCCCACAAGTGACCAACATTCCCAGCCCTTAAATTACTTGGGAATTTTGAAAGTCTCCTTCTTGTTTGCTCAGTGACACATGCAGTGGTCTCAGTGCATCTTTCCAGGTGACCAAGCCTGGTTCACGCACAATCCCCCACTTGGCACAATGCCGAGCTGCTGGATCTCATCAGCTGCCTGTTCTACAAAGAGCTGGCCATGATACTCGGTGGCAACCCCACCTACACTGCGAAGGCCCCTGTGGCTACTTCGTTGGCTCATGTGCCAGTCAAGAATGGACCGAGCCAGGAGGAGGAAATCTTGGACAAGGATGTGGAGGGGGAGGGGAGACCCAGAGGCAGAGGATGACTCGGAGGCCAGAGATGTATGCAGTCAGGAGCTTTTTTCTACCCCGGATGACCCTAGCCAATCACAGCTATTGGAGATTGGCGAAGCGCAAACAGGAGAGGAGGCCCCTGGTAAGTGGATCTGATTTTGGGAATCGCTGAAGCAAGTTGTTGAGGGTAGGAGGGTTGCAGAAAGCAGGCTTGTCTCCCACTGCATGCTTAGTCTGAGCGGCGGGACAAGCTGTTGATTGACTCCCTCACTTCACGGGACTCTCCCTCCGAGATCTCCAGGAAACTCTCATGGAGATACTGGGAAATCTGCTGACACAGGTTCTTTGGCAGAGCTGCTTTGTTTCTTGCCCCATTAAGAGTAACTTTCCCGTACCACTCTGCCATCACTGGGGGGCCAGGGCGGACGCCACAGTCTTGGAGAAGACCCTCCCTTGATTCCCTGCTCACCCTCAGCAGTGAAATATCTTTCATAGTGTGGAAAATGTGCCTGTGGAAAATGTGGGGACAGTAATGATTATAAGGCTTCCCCTACAATGCTGGCTCTCCCCAAGAGCCACGTGCCCAATGTACAGTAGGGTCCTGGAATACTGATTTCTCCTGCCCCTGCAGTGACTCACCATTTTGGGGGTCTTGTGGCTCATGTGTGCTTGCCTGGGGTCAGCCAGTTAGGGACAGGTATATGAATAGTGGCTGTGTTTTAAATCAGTGGTATGTGTGTTGCAAATAATACTGCTTCTGTAAAATGTTGCATTTTGGCTTTATAGATATGACCTTGGAACCCAGCCTCCCTCTTTGTTATTGCTAGCTGAACAGCTGCGCAGAATTAGAAAGCAGCCATGAAGAACTAAAGAGGACTTTCTGTGTGATGTCATGATGCACTCCATGGCCAAAAAACAAGAATTGAAGGAGTGGCAGGACAGCGAAAAAAGGGACCGAAAGGAGAACACGGCACGCCAGAACAAAGCCATGGAGTGGCTCTTAAACGTTATGGAGCGCCAAGCAGACACACTCCAGGTGCTACTAGCACTGCAAACCGCACCCGCCCTCTCCTGAAGCCACTGTCGCAAAACTCTTTCCTATGTGCCCCCCAGACACCGCCAACACACTCTTTTCAATCTGCTGGCTCCAGTCTGTACCCGCTGCATTCCACTCCTCCCCCCTCACAGTCCAGCCCTGCGGACTCCAAGTACACTTCACTCAACACCCATTCCTCTGCAGTTTAGCCCTGCTGAAGTACAGTACCCGCTGCACTGTACTCCAAAGGAGAAGGTTGGATATGATATCTGAACATACACAAATCTTTAACCATCCTGGGACCCCCACCTCCTCCTAGGACCCTCCCTTCCCCCATCCCCCTTAGTGCTGATGTGTTCTTTTGTTTGTCTCTCTCCTCTGGTTGTTGTTTTTTAATAAAAGAATTGCTTTGGTTTGAAAGCAATCTTTATTCCATTAATTGAAAGCAAACAGAGCCCTGCAAAGTAACAGGCAGTTTTCTTACACCTTCATAGTGCATCGTCTGCACCAATCACAATCACCTCCTAGCATTACAAGCACTGCACTCCCGAGCATAGCAACAAATATTAGTGGCTTTCAGCTTCAAATTGCTGCCCCAAGGCATCCCTGATCCTTATGGCCCCACGCTGTGTCCCTCTAATAGCCCTGGTCTCTGGCTGTTCAAACTCAGCCTCCAGGCACTGAGCCTCAGTTGTCCAGCCCTGAGTGAAGCTTTCACCCTTCCCTTCACAAATATTATGGAGCATACAGCACATAGCTATAAGCATAGGAATATTGTCATCAGCCAGGTCCAGCCGCCCATATAGGCAGCTCCAGCAGGCCTTTAAATGGCCAAAAGCACACTCAACAGTCATTCTGCACTTGCTCAGCCTGTTGACAGCAGCAAGGAGTGGTTCAACAAGAGGCCCTGTGTATGGCTTCATAAGCCACAGCATTAAGAAGTAGGCAGGGTCTCCCAGGATCACAATGGGCATTTCGACTTCCCCTACGGTGATCTTCTGGTCCGGGAAGAAAGTCCCTGCAGGCCAGTGTTCTGAAAGATGCGTGCGTCATGCACCTTTCCGGCCCAGCCTGCGTTAATGTCGTGAAACACCCATGGTGATCCACAAATGCCTGGAGAACCATTGAGAAATACCCCTTCTGATTAGTGTACTCGGTGGCTAGGTGGTCTGGTGCCAGAATTGTAATATTCGATGCCATCTATCGCTCCTCTGCAGTTAGGGAAGCCCATTTGCAAATTTCACACACATTGCCCAGAGCCACGGTCTTTTGGAGCAGGATGCTATTAATGGTCCTGCAGACTTCCGTCAACACAAGTCCAACGGTTGACTTTTTCCCACTCAGAACTGGTTAGTGACCAATCAGTAGCAGTCTGGAGTAGCCAGCTTCCACAATGCAGTCGCCATGCGTTTCTCCAGTGACAGGGCAGCTCTCATTCTTATGTCCTTGCGCTGCAGGGCTGGGGCGAGCTCATCACACAGTCCCATGAATGTGGCTTTCCTCATCCAAAAGTTCTGCAGCCACTGCTCGTCATCCCAGACGTGTATGACAATGTGATCTCACCACTCAGTGCTTGTTTCCGAAGCCCAAAAGCTGCGTTCCACTGTAGTCAGCACCTCCGTGAATGCCACAAGCAATCTCGTGTCGTAGCTACTACACGTGGCGAGATCAATGTCGCGCTCCTCTTGCCTTTGAAGTTTAAGGAATAACTCCACTGCCACTTGTGATGTGTTAGTCAGAGCGAGCAGCATATTTGTCAACAGTGCGGGATCCACTTCTGCAGACCAACGAGGCAGAGCGCGCATAACACAAACTGTTCAGAGATGGTGCCAAATGTGGATGGGAGCACAGTGATTGATGGGATGTGAAGCAATGCATCATGGGGCACTGGGACAGGACCCAGGATGCCCCGCGACCCACTCCATCTTCCCGCAACTCTTAGCGGCAGAAGAGAAAGAGGGGCTCTGTGGCATAGCTACCCAGAGTGCACTGCTCCGAATACCGCTGCAAGTGCCGCAAATGTGAACACGCTATTGCACAGGCAGCTGACAGTGTGAACACACAACAGCCGTTTCTCTTCAGCGCTCTCTGTGCAGCGCTGTAACTGCCGGTGCTGTAACTCTGTCAGTGTAGACATACCCTAATACTATTTTAGCTAATAATTATCTGAGTTAAGAGCAGTTTGTCACATGTTAAATATCTTTGGCATAAGCCATTAACTGAAAAATTGTTTCTTAGTTGTCATTCTTGATGGATTTCTCAAGGATTGTGGTGTAAGTACAATTCTGGCATATATAGAATTGATTTAAGAGCTACCACTAGATAAATGAGACATCCTGTTTAAACTAAGATGTCTACAAGTAAAGGTGATTTTAAAGTTCAGCCATCTAAAGAGGAGGAGAAAGTGGTTGTTCTGAGGAAAAATTGGGCTCAGGTGAATACTTGGGCCTGTGCAAATTCAGTGAGACTCCATGCGTGTGTACAGTTTAGCCTGTGTACCTTGGGTAGCATGGCTAAAGAGCCATTAAAGTAGGAATGTGAGACTTGTCCAAGTAATTAAATCTAACCAATCTATGTAGTGGTCTCCTAAAGGAAGTAGTAGAAACTGAACTGCTCATGAGTTTAAAAAAAACAAGACAAAGCGCTGGAAAACATGCTGTGTAGAGAGCACTCATCACCAGCTGCCAAGATAATGAAGGTGGTCTTTTTCATCTCTAATTTCTACTGTGTCAGTTTGCCACTCAGAACGTTGTATATACAATTTATCCGTAGTTTAAGCACTCTTGGGACATGACTAAGCAAGATCTTGGGACATGACTTATTCTACTTTAGAATAATGGGCACTAATTAAAAAAATGAAAAAACCTCTTAAATGGATACAATATGATTTTTTTTTATTCTTCTTCTTATCAAACTTAGGAAAATCCAAAAAAGGTATGAGAACACCCTTTTATCTGTCTGTGTGTGTATCCCTGAGGTGTTTTGCTGAAGTCACTGATTAAAGTGATACTGTCAAGTAGTTCAGGACCAAAATCTGTGTAAATTTTCAAGTTGTTGAAATGTAGTGCAGAGCCTTCTACAGATTCCCACTTTTTTTAAAAATAACTTTTCAAAAGAAACTCACAACTCTATCACTGGTAGCTAAAAAGTTCTCATACCTGCAGAGCCGCTGCCTGTGCATTATCCTAATGTTTTTGCTCTGTGCCTCAGAACCAAACAAGGGGAGCACAAATAACAGAACTATGTTCACACAGCTGGGCTGATTGATGTTTGATGACAGGAAAGTAAAGCCAACAGTGCTATTTTGGCATATGCTCCATACAAAAATGGGTTCAGAAGCTGAGATGTTTGCATACATACAAACAAAAAATAGGAAAAGAGATATTTTTAACCTTCTAAGAAGATAAAGAAAACGAAGAGAGTTTTTTAAAAGATCAGTTATTAAAAATACTTGACAGTCTCTCTTTTGAAAGCAGCTTGTGTTAATAGCTGTGACCTCACACTTATTCAATGTTACTAGACTTATGGCTCTATAACAACTGTTGGTCTTGGTGTTTAATGAGCTGGTTTTGTTCTTGCATATGCATTCTTTGACTTAACTATGCAGTTACTAAAATTATTTTGTTTTGTTCTTATTACTTTTAAAAAATTCTTAATCTTGTTCTTTTGTTAAATAATTAAATACTAAGCTTGAGGTCCTTATTACTCCCTTGTCAGAGGCTATTTTATTTTCTTTGGTTATCATCCTGACTTCAATATTGGGAGGGCGGGAGGGAGAGAGAGATATACCTTGAGTATATCTGTTCACAAAAAGATTCTGGATGATAAGCAGTGAAGGGCTGTAATGGACATAGGTGGGTTGTATTTTGGTGCCATTGGAAAGCTGATGCTGAGCTATGTTAGGACTGGGACTAAAGCAAACTGCCTGTCTCCTAAGGCACAAAAAGAAAAGGGGAACATGGTATTATATTTTCTGCAGCTGAACACATGACCTACATACTGTACTTAGAAAGAGATATAGTTTGTCATTGAGTTATATTGGCATAAATTCAATTGAAGGAGCAATATTTTTTTAATTATTATAATAGTGCAATTTCTCTTCACAGGAAATGATACTCTGCTTATTTCAACGTGTGTTCATAGTTGTAAATTATCCTTTTTTTCTGTATGGCATTTTAAAATAATTTTGTGAGTTTTCATACCCTTCATGAATCTTACATTCTTTCTGTGTGTGAAGAGGGTGGAAGATAACCATCGGTGACAGAAAGTATTCTCACAAGAACAGTTTAAAATCCTTTCCTTTCATGATCATCAAGATTCAAATGTTTCACTGTATGTTTTATATTCAGGATATAAAAAAATTGGGTTAATTTTTTCCTAGTGAAATATAGGAAATGTTACATATTTAAAGTAAAATTAAGTATTTTTTAGTAATCTATATTAGTAAACTAGGACTCTCTAAAAATATACCCATTAGAATAATATTTCTCCTTTCAGTAATTTCTGTTTCCTTCTCTTTACATAATGAATAATTGAAAACCCTTTTAAAGGAGCAATTAATCATTCCAAAGGTACAAGTATTAAAGGTAATTTTATCAAATGTTGGAAATATCATCATTTGTCATAGTAATTATTAAAAACAAACTACACATACAAATCTGTAACATGTTATAGAAACTGCGTTACATGGTGTTTATTATTATCCATCAAAGCTGAAGTATGTGTGTGTCAATTTTTCTCCACTAACTAGTTCAGTTGAACTTCCAATGAAATTTAATCTCTTCTTGAATGACAAGTACAATGCTATTGGCATCTTGGAAATCAGCTTTAATTGTATACAGGAAAACATTCAGTAGCTGACTGGAATGGGGAAATAATGTATGTTGTCTTGGAGATGTGTGGATTGCATGCTTTCCTTAATAAAGTAATGCCATTTATGATTTGGTGTGAGCTATGCACTATTCATATACATTTTTGAGAATACTGTAGCTTTTTTTGGATGAAGCTCCAGTGACAATAGTTTGCTCTCTAAAATGGAATTCTGCTAACTGTCATGCCAGAGAAACCATCCTAGAACCAAACCAACTCACGTGCAGGTACAATACCAGAGGAAGAAGGCCTGTTACTAAAAATTACTGTGGAAAATATTCCCAATTCGTATTTCTCAAATCATTAATGGTGACTAATAAAAAATGTATAAAATATGATGTGGCAAAATCCCCAGAAAAATTGTTATCTGGATTAATACATGTGAATCAGTAGATTGTTTCTTGATTCAGGAGAAATTTTTAGTATCTTCCAATTGGTTCATCTCCTGGTCTAACGCATGTTCATATTTTATCACAGGTTTATGCACAATGTAGTCTGAAGTATTTAAGAATCAAAGTGCAAGCAGGTCTTTCATTGTTTCAAACAGAATGTGATCTGTGACCCAATGTGGACAATATAATACTTTAATACAAGCATTAAAAGGGATTTTATAGAATATCTTTATGCACCGAACTGGCAGCCTCCTTTACACCTCCTTCTTATGAATCAAAGGCTTATCTATGTGGTGCGGCTACGTGCATTAGAATTCTAAAGCACACCAACATGCTGCACACTTAACTGCTCTGTGAAGATCTTCCTGGTATGCATTAAAGTTCCCTAGTTTCTGTTAAATGTAGTAATGAAGTGTTATCTTAATGTGCAGTAGGGTACTTTTAGTTCATGCCAGCTGGGTCTCCATGGGCCAGTTAGTGTGCAACACATTGCTGCACTTTAGAATTCACACCCCTATAGAGTGCATTGCCATATAATGTAGACAAGCCCCTAGATCGCATGAACATGATCTCTTGCACTCTGTATAAATACTGCAGCTTTATTTACAAAAGTTTTCAAAATTATTTGGTTAAAACTAAAACAGACTAAATGTCTGCGTCCAAGAAGGCAAATGCTTTAACTGAGTAATTCCAATCCACCCATGTGATTTACACAATCATGATCATGTAACCTGACTTTTTTTTTTTAAATAAGCATTACAAATGGGTTGCTTACATGGGGCAAGAACTAAGATTTTTATTTGCGTGCTTACCATCTGTACATGCTTGATGGATGCTCACAGGAAGCAGGAACTACTTGTGATTTTGTAGTGGTATTTAAAACAGAAAAAAAACATTCACACAAAAAGAAGTATTTCATGAGGCTATTGGGCTACAAAAGTCTCTGTTTCAATCTTGTAAGGGGAATCTCAAGTAGTACAAGTAAGTTTTAGGGAGATACCTTAGTAACGTAAATCAGGATTAGTTAAAGGATATGCTCTTTATTTTCAGCATATAAACTAAAGGCCTGATCTGCAGTTGCCATTAAGACCAAAACAAAATTTGACTTTAGTGGGAGCTGCAGGTATTTGGCACACCTGAAAATCAGGGCATTTTAATTAGGTGGTGATTTAGATTCCTAACTTTAGCTACTCTGTGTCACAGTTTCCGGGTAACTGTGCTTATAGCCCTGAGGGTTGCCAACCCTCCACGATTGTCCTGAAGTCTCCAGGAATTAAAGATTAATCTTTAATTAAACATTATGTTGTGATGAAACCTCCAGGAATACATCCAACCAAAATTGGCAACCCTAAATCCACCCCACCCCACCCCGCGATTCACTCCAGGAATGCCAAGTCAGTTCTCAGGCCTCTATCTGTCACCAGTGTTGGGGTGGGGACCTATGTCTCACTCCCTTCTGACTGGCAGTTGTAAGGTTTCACAGCCCCGTCATACCTGGTGATACCCCAGCAAGCCCATCTGCCTAAGGCCAGCACCAGTGCGTTGCTTTCTCTCCGAGGGCTATGAACTGTATATTGCCAGCAGTTACAAGTTACTGCACAGCTCTTTGTATGCAAGCACATTTATTCTTAAGATAAAAGCATTACAGAGACACCATAATAAAAAAACTAAACAGATCTACCCACTTATTGAATGTACCAGAAATTGCCATCAATCCTCTGGGGCCCTAGTAGGCCAAAGTCTTTCAAACCCTTCAGCAAGGGTTGGAGGTGTCCTCTGTCCCCTCCTGCCTATTTGCTGAATCAAAAGAAAGACACAAATCTGTTTAAACTCTACTTTTAATGCCACAAGCCCTTTCTTTGTTTGAATCTCTGGAAAACCCAGCTTGAATCAGTATATGCAAACCACCCCAGAGGCTGGTACCTCTCTGGAGCTGTTTACAGTCTCAGCAGCCCACCTTCTCACTCACCACTCTTTTTAGTTCTTGGAGGAGCTATGGTAACCGTCTTCCATGGAGTAGTACATATATAACTATTCATAAATTTAATACAATAGACCCCAAAGGTTCTTTATGGGGTTGCAATATCTGTCACACCTTAGTTTTAAGTTTTTGGCCTAGGTTTTGCACCTTTGTTTCCGTAATTCACACACAAAAAATAAATATTAAAAAAAATTGTTTGAGCGTTGATGAAATTTAGCCAATAAACTAATCCCACAAGTGATGAAAGTGAATTCCTTGGTGTCAGTCACAAGCAAATCCAGTTTTCATAAATCTTCTGTATGTTTATGATTATTCTATTAAATTCTTTAGAACACTACTACTTTGGTCACAGTGCAATTTTAGATTGAGATGGTGTTCAAAATGCTTCTGCAGCTATTTACAAACATTTAATTTTTAGTTCAGAGAATTTTACCTCTAAAAATTGGGTAATCTTACTTTTCTTTTCTTTGATTGCACTCTGTAGGGTATAATCATCAACACATATGTGAAGAACAAAGGCAGAAATCTCCTGAATTCTACAGCAGAACTGCATCTGAATCTAATGTGTATCTGAATAGTTTCCATTATCCTGATCATAGCTACAAGGACTATGCATTTGATACATTAAGCTTAGACAGTTCTGACAGTATGGAGACCAGCATATCTGCGTGCTCCCCTGATAATATTTCCAGGTAAATGTTAACTTCTCATATTTTTTTCTGAATGGAAACTGTTAGAACAAGTTGTAAACATTGAAGCTGTATATCCCTAGGGCAATGAAAACATATTACTTCTCTTTAAAGTGAGAAAGAGAAGATAGAAGCTTTTACTAACTGGATAAGAAAATCTGCAAGAATTGGACAGAAATATTATTTAGCATTTGGATACTGTTTTTCATCTTCAAATCAATTTAACTAATTCTCATCTCATCCCTGAGTTTTGCAGATGGGAAATTAAAGTATGGAGAGGTTAAGTAATTACTCATTTAAGATCACACAGGGAATCAGTGTCACAGCTGGGATTAAACCTATGGAGGAGTTGACTTTCTGCATGTTTTAGTGGATTTAGCATAAAACTGCTTGTCTGATAACTGTAGACTTCTGATGTAGGATATTCATTGTCAAGTCCATGATCCAGCAACTAAGTTTACTCTCTGTCTGTATCTAAGATGTTACCTCATTAGGGGCTTGGACTGCTGAACTTTTTGGATCTCTTGCCAATAATGCTAGCAATATAGTCTCCCGTCTCCAAATCAGAATTTAAAAAGAGTTCTTGGTTCCCAACCATGGGCCCTGATCTCTAGGCTATGCCTCTCTTATTTTAGGATCTTATCAATTTTACCACTAAAGATAAAAGTAATGTCCTGTATTTATTTAAAAACAAAAATGCACAGAAGCTGGGGTCTGAAAAGAGTACGTTGACAACCCTTTCTTCTCTGACTATCCCATTGTCATGATAGCACTTTGATTTCTGCCAAATCCCCGTTTGGGTAGTTTGGGAAAGCATGGGAATCCTGTCAATGAAATAGAACATTGTCACAGAATTAGAACTTCTTCTGAACATGAGGAAAGCTTTTTGGCTGCCATATTGTGTTTTCTTTAGCATCTGTTTCCTTGAGTATCAGCCCATTGTGCTTCTCTTTTATTGTGGCAGTGCTATGGGAGTTTTTACTAATGTTATGGAGCAGTTTGAGGAATAGTTCCCTTTTATCTGTATTGTATTTACCAACTTAAATGTAATGGAGAAGTTGGTGAGTTATTGGAAATAGATATTCAGGATCAATATTTGCTGCAGTCATCTTGTTTTGTTTATAGCAACAAATTGTAATAGAGATGTAAAGGCCTAACAGAGGTTGTGTTTTCAATGCAGGAAATGTTGATCCAGTGACAACTGAGTTTTCATTATGTGTTGTTACACTAAGTGGCAAATATAATTTTAAACTTTTCTGTCTAATGTATATTGATGTAGGGAAGCAATGGCTGTTCACAGATGGGCCAGATTCTGATCTCCTTACTCAGGCTGAGCAGCGCCTCAATGATGCTGTTTGTACAGTACAGTACAATTCAGCTTAGTAATGGTATCTGAATCTGTCTCTTTGCTATGATTGACTTATTGCACTGTGATTCTCTTTAATAGAGGCATCATACACATAGGCTACCCCCAGACCAGCTTGCAAATAGAAGCTTAAAGCTGGAATTTTCAAAGATGCCTAACAGAGTTAGGTGCCTAGCACCTGTTGAATTTCACTGGGATTCAGGTTCTTTTGGGAATCTCAGCCTAATTTCTAACTGTTATTGATACACAAACACTCACACACAAATGCACACAGTACTTTTATGGATCAAATGATTTTTCACTAGATAAAGTTAGTTTGGGTGGGTATTTGTTTATTTTTGTTGATTGTTCATAGATAACAGATTTCTTCCTCTTCTGAGACAGATTCCAGGACCATTAGGCATATTGAATTACAGAGTTCTCAGGGGGTATTTTAAAATAATTTCCAGCCATGTCCCAGCTCTAGGGGGAAATTCAATATTGCTGTTTACTAACTCACATACAACATAAAACATACAAAAGAAATAGTTTGGGGATAAGGAGAGAGGTTAATTGCTGGGAGTATCTGAAGTCCCACAGTGCTCAAAATACAACTGAAGTATAAATTTTGAAAGGTCATTCTTTACCCTATACAAATAAGAGATCCCAGGAACCATTAGTAACTTCAGTTTTCCTGATTCAAGTATCAGAGTGTAGAGCCTTGAGCTTTACAACCTTATCTGAACCTGACAGGACCCAACTACACGTGTTGGGATTGGGTTGGGTCGGGTCGGACCTGAAAATAACCCGATCTGAACTCAGGAGGATCGGGTCATCTCTGATTACCTCCTCTTGCCCATGGGATTGGCATGGCGGTAGTTGCATGCCCCACTCCTGCTGACTGCCACCATCTCGCTGCACTCAGTATATGTTACGGAGTGAATGTGCTGGTGAGTTGCAGTGCCTCTCACTCGGCAGCATGCACAGCACAGCAAGACAGCAGCTGATGGCGCACCAACCTCAAGGGTCAATGGTGGCTGGAGAAGGATCCCAGGCATGGGCCATGCGGAGAGGGTAGCCTCCATCAGGCCAAGCCCCAAGGTTTGGAGGGAAGTGTCAGGTTTGGGACAGGTCAGTTCTGAAAACAACCCGACACTCGGGTCATGTTCAAGTTGGCTGTGCTTGGCTCAGATTCAGGTCTGGGTTGGGCTTTAAAATAAGTTCTAAAAAATCCTCTAATAAGGCTCACATTTTTAAGGGTCTTCAAAACCAGCAGGTACGAACTAAGTTAATTGCCTTGGATAGGGAATCATTGTAAAACAGGGAGCTGATATAATCATGGTTACTCAGTCCAATGTGCAACAGTGCACTCCCATAGTGAGTTTAAAGTGTAGTCCAAGCATTTGTCTACTGCAGAGACTGAGCAAGGAAACCTTTACAGGGCAAGAAGGATAGTTATGTTGTATTGTGCTGCACCAGAGTCTAGCACCATTTTGTTGTTGGTGCAGCGGTCAGGTGTCCCCACTTTTTGCCAAGGTCTATGTGTCACAATAAGAAATCCTTCCGCTGCACCTAAATCACTTTTGTAGGGTCCCCAAAAGGGGTGATGGGTGGAATAGTCATCCTCTTACTATTTTGTTCACCATGTAGGCCTAATTTCCAAAGCACCAATTTTGGTGTATTCATTTCCGGTACCCTACTCCTTCTCTTACCACCCCCCGACTGTGTTATCAGTAGACCCTCTCCGCTAAAATTAATTCAGCCTTTTTGTCTCTTCTTTACATTCTTTCTTAAATAATTTTATATAACTGGGCATTGTGGAAATTCATGAACCTTTACCCACTTTCCTCCAGTTAGGCATACAATTAAACTAGACCTGCTAGGACTCAGTGATTACAATAGAGCCTTCAGTCTTTCTCTTCTATCTTCAGTACTGAGATGTGAGCCTTTCAGAATATGGGATTGTGTGTCCTGTCATTCAGTGCATTTTACTGATATTCCCTACTACCTGCTCTTTATTTTAATTTGGTAATTTCTGATGACAAGTTAAGTGATACAGAAGATAGACACTCAGTTCATGGCCAGAGGGACTTCAGTTTTACAATTAGATGGTTACTGGTGTCAGTGCAGGGGATCAGTAAATGAGTGCTATGTTTTGGGCTAAGTGGCCTCTTTAGACCCACCTGTTATAGGGATGGCAAACCACAGTGAACCCACAAACTCTATAGACTCTCAGGTCTGCATTTTTGGACAATTCTGGATGAGAGACTATATTTATTGAGAGTATATTATACTTAATACACTATTTGTACTTGGCGCTAGCTGTACTAAATTGGACCTGAATTTTTATCAACTCTATTATTAAATTATCCAGAGTTAGTTTGTAAAATATGGCTTCAGTCTTCAACTATTCTCGTAGGTAATGTTTTTTTTTGTATACAGTGCCAGCACTTCAAATGTTGCCAGAATAGAAGAGATGGAGAGACTTCTGAAACAAGCTCATGCTGAAAAGACACGACTGCTTGAATTCAGGGTAATCTAAAGATTTCTTTGACAGAGGTTAATAGATACTTTGTTAAGACAATACAAATTTCATTTGGCCATTTTCTTAAATTGCAATTGCTGAACACAGCCCTGAAGTACTCGTTTTCCACTTCTCCCAACTTTGTCCCACTGGAATCCTGCCATTCCTGATACTCTGTGCAACAGCTACCATTTCTGTGGCTGAAGTGGACAGAAATCCTTTCAGAGCTAATCAACATTGCTCCTTCATCTGCTAAAGGGATGGCTTATGAGTAGTACTTGCTTACCACCCCCATCTTTATGGGACTGCTTAAAGTCTACTAGTCCAGGAGGCAAGAGTCCAGCCCCTGTAACTGAACCGAAGTCTCTCAAATGGCACGGCACTAGTCTACTAGTATATATAGACCAGTCCCTATTACTGGACTTCAGGTAATGATTTTAGATGGTTTAAAATAAAATCAGCCCTATTTTCAAATTTTAAAGTGACTCATGAGTGAAGAACAGGTAACTTGAAAACAAAACCTGCTTTAGCTATGAAACAAAATAATACTGCACTTTAGAATTGACATTACTGAATGTTAGTTATATTTGCTTGCATTTAAATAAGACACAAAAGATTTACAGTCCTATTTCAGTCTCCTAATGTTAACAAATACACTTAAATCCCAGTCAGCAAAATGTTTGATAAGAAGTAGCATTTCATTTCATATTACAGTGGCTAGGTTGTTCTGCATTCAGGCATATATTTTGACCCTCTTACAAAAAAATATTAATGCTTTAACAATGAGTTTCCCTCAGAATCAGTCAAATTAACAGACTAGACAGCACAGAAGGTCAATCCCTGATAAAGCTAGGATTGGCTATACCGAACTCAAGTAGACCCTGTCCAAGTTGGGGGACGACTGTTTACACCTCAATTTGTAGGGGGGAATGACGAGATTATATTGTGTAGATGCAGCTTTAATGTAACTCAGTACTTTTGTATAAAGATATATTGTCTTCTAGCTTTCTGTTTAATATGGCCCTGCTCACTCTGGGATCGGAACCTGCTAGCGGTGTTTAAACACCATTACTGCTACCATAGTCTTAGTGCACTTACCATGACATAACGTGGACATGGATTGTATTTATTTATTTTATTGTGAGAACTGTTTTGTAGCTAACTGGTGTGGTAGACTACCATGTTTTCTGTTCTCCATTGCTCCAGGTAATAGACAGTGGTTCCTCTTATAAACTTCACTGTTGCCTTAGATCATACTCTGTATAATGAACCAATGATACTTCACTATTTGCAGCATTCTAGGTCTTCTGATGTGATATGGTTCCCAGACAAAGTCCCCCAAACCTATCCAGGTTTATTAGAGAAACCATGCTTGTGACAACCTTGTTCAAATGTGATTCTGATCCCTGTTCCCAATCCACCTTGCATATGTTCTTGGCTCCCTGAGAGGTATAAAGGGGCTTGTAGGAGCTCTGGGTGGGATCAAGTTACTTTTAATGTTTATCAGGTGTAGTTTTACATAGCCTATAGTTGAAACTCTGTGTGCACTGTGGTATATAGGAACGGGAAATGGAAGCCAAAAAACGAGCCCTGGAAGAAGAAAAGCGTCGCAGAGAGCAACTAGAAAAAAGATTACAAGAAGAAACTAGCCAGCGGCAAAAATTAATTGAAAAGGAAGTCAAGATACGTGAGAAACAAAGAGCACAGGTGTGTTGACAATCTACCATGTACACACTGAAACAGCTATATAGCAAGCTTCTCACAATGATGAAGGGAAGGAGTTTCTGTAGATGGCTGGTTGCTTGAGTGCCTGTTAAATTGATTATTTTAATACTTCTAAGATTTTTGTCAATGGTCTGTTAGGGGCCTTGGATAGGTGTCTTTTTAGTAACCTACATATTTATTGATTTAGATTTAAATATCTCTTCCCAGTTATATTGGCATTGTAAATGTACTGTATTAATCCTATAAGGTTTGTCACTGAATCCACTCATGGCAGAACTGTGCAGTCTGTGTCACAACTATGCTGAGTAATGGACATTTCTGAGAGCAGTAACTTTGTGAAAGTACATGGTGACTTTTATATGTGGGACATTTTTGGATTGTGAGTTGTCCTCTTCCGAATATTTTGTTGAAAAGAAGATTTTATTTCCCCCCATTCCCTCCTATACACAGCCTCTTCAAACCAACTGAGTGATAAATATTTATTTTGCCAACATTATATGAAAGAAACAATAGTTCATATTTGGTGAATGGATCCCAAAGCAGAGACACCATGGAATTGGATTGACATGATGATATAACTCATTTTTCATGAGCACTATATATATATATATTTTTTTCAATTACGAGTTTTTCTTTTGGTTACCCAGAAAGACCCAATTTCAGGATTCTGGGTTTTTCTTTTCAATGCGTCCTGACCTTTAAACACCAAAAACAGTGGAAGGAGCAGCATGTTCTGCAGAAACCAAAGCTACCTGAAGCTTGTTCAGTATAGTGATGTACAATTTCAGAGGGTGCCAAATATACACAATACAAAAGGCCACCACTGTATGTCGAAGGCTGCAGTGATACTAAGTGTCTCAAAGCACTTGAAAACCATTAACGAGTTAGTTATATACCACTCCATTGCATAGATAGAGAAACTGAGGCACAGAGCAGTTAAGTGACTTGTCCAAGGTCACACAACCAGAGTTCTTCTTTTCCCAAAGCTGCCACAGATATTTTGATCTGTGCTTTAACCCCTCCCCGCCCCCCCGCTCCCCCAAAAAAACTCTTCTGTGATTTGAAATCTGTTACTTAATGGATGATTTTAAGAAACCAATGTTCTGGGCTGAAAATACCCCCTTTTTTTTTAAATGCCAGTATTCAACAGTTGACATAGGTACATATTGCAAAAATTTGTCTGTTCTCTTAAGAAAATCCAAGGCTGCAACTCACACATTTAATCTTTGCTACCTTCGTAGTTTGAACATGGGTGCTACTTGTACTTTTTATCTGCTTACCACATATAGAAAGAAAAAAGATGAAAGATTTATGGAGTATCTTTTTGCTCTGTTTTTAGGCCCGCCCCTTGACTCGCTACTTGCCGATCAGAAAGGAAGACTTCGACCTACGAGGTCACATCGAAACAGCTGGTCACAACATAGAGACCTGTTACCACATCTCACTCACAGAGAAGACCTGTCGAGGCTTTCTGATTAAAATGGGAGGGAAAATTAAAACATGGAAAAAACGGTGGTTTGTTTTTGATAGAAGCAAGAGAACATTTTCTTATTATGCAGGTAGGTTGTGTTTCTTCAGCCAGGATTGAGTCCTTCTGTGGCAGTACCATTCTTATGTGCACCCATCCCAACATTTGTCACATAGGCCCTATTGTTACATTAAGTGTCATTTACACAATTTTTATGGGTCTTCAAAACCAGCAGGGACAAACAAAGTTAATTGCTTTGGATAGGGAATCATTGTAGAACAAGGAGCTGATATGATCATGGTTACTCAGTCCAATGTGCAACAGTGATTGTTGGTGTTGTGGAGGCTTTTTCAAGTCCTCAGTCAGAAAGGGGCTCCATTATGCTGGGTGTTTTATTTACATGTACACACATATACCACCCACTCAGACTCACACTATCTCTCTTTCCTTTCTCCTGTTCTGAAGAGTTTGCAATCTGAGATGAGACACAAATGAGTGTAACAGACAAAGGGAGGGAAGAGGGCAGAGGAGGGTAACAACAATAAGATCACCTACAGGTTCCTACTGTACAGCTGTTTTTGTGTTATTTAATTATTAAATAAAATCAGTTATAATTGACTTTGGTATAGCCTAGTCCTCACTGCTGGCCTGATTTCTGGTAGGCTTCACAGAAGAACTTGATTCGTCTTAACTTATTTAAAAAAAAAATCAGATTAATTACTTGTCTTTATAACACACTTTCTTTAACTTAACATCTCAACATATTTTAACATTGTTCCTTGTGGTCTGGAGATGATGAAGATCATCATCATAATTTAATGATAAATGCGAACTAGATTCTTGGTTTTAATTGTCATACTCCTAAAGGCAGTTAAAACACAGACCAATCAAACTTCTGTCATTTCAAGACTAAGAAAATCCAATAAATAAATTTCAGAAACAGCTACATCTAGATTAATACCATCTTTGAAGATAAAATCACAGGCTTTAAATTGCTTTATTACATAGACTAGTTTTAAATAAAAATACTGGAAATATACAAACGGATGCAAATACAAAAAATCTGCAGTGCTACTGTACATTTTTGTGGCTTGTTGTTTGAATGTGAAAGTTGGGATGGACCCAGAAATATATTTTGTAGTGCTTTAACTTCCATTGGTAAAAGAAATCAGGCTTACTCTAGGTGATATGTGTTCCTTTGCTTGGTAACAGTTTTCTGCTATAAAAACTGAACAGTTCCATTTCCTCATGTGGCATTACATTAGCAGCAGGCAGAATGGAGCTGAATATTGGTGGTAGAGGAATATATTACAAATTACCCATTTTATGTTTTTGGAAAATTTATACTTATAGTCAATAAATGTCCATAATATTTCAGAATAGTTTGCAATATTAGTTATGGTAAAACTTAAACAGAAACATTCACTTTTACTGTTTTGAACATCTGGTTTATTTATTAGCAAGGCATTTAACAAATAGTATAGTGCTCCCATCTGGTACTGATTTTTAAAAGATAGTTACTTTAATAGTTACCAGTTTCAGTTTCGAGTTCAGCACAGCTGCTCTAATGTAGTGTCAATTATCAAAGAAAACATTTCATAATGTCTCGAGGACTCAAGCCAACAAACAAAATTAAATGAAAACCTGATACCAGCTGAGTACAAATGTAGCTGTTGGTATGCATTAGAAACTGTCAATGTGACTTTAACAATACAGCAAATTTCCAAGATAAGTATTGATGCTATAAATGTAGAGCTCATGGCCTGTAACTGAACATACAGGTATAGTGTCCTTAGGATTGCAGGTGTACTGAGCAGAAAGAGAATTGACCCCCGAAGCCTGTAATATAGCAAAAAGACTAAAATGTAGTTAGTTCTTGACCTGAAAATTATATAGAACTTTCTTGGTACAAAGACTAAGCATTGTCTAAGCACTGAACATTACATCATCAGATTAACATTTTGTCATGAATATTTCTTCCAAAACTGTAAGAATGGTTACTCACGTCTAAAGTGAAATGCGCATATAGGGCCAGACTTTGGAGGGGCAGGGGAAATGAAAGCAGCCTACCCTCTTTGCAAGTAGAAACTGCAGGCACAGGAAATGGAACTTAGATGGTGAACATGGCTGCATAAATGACAAGAATCAATCCCAAACAAGAGGCCAGTTGGAGGCTGTGCAGAAAATCCAGTCCGTAATCTTTTTCTCTTTAATGTCTCCTAATTAAAGCCATCCCTGATTCAACTTCTCCTTGGTCTCTTAATACCATCATTGCTACAGTAGTGTTATAAATTTGTAAAGGACCCGCTTGCACCATTGTTGAGTAACAAGTAAAATTTTAATTTGAAACTTCTGAGAGTTTACCGTAAACAGGAAAACTATTTTTTTTTAAATAGAAAAAGTCCTCACGCAATGTTGTTTTGAAGTAAAACTAAGTATTAAATTGTCTGCTAGATTTGGTCTTCAGAGCAGCTTTGGGGGGAAAACGTCACTGCTAGCGTGCCAGTTTGTTGTAATGTTTTAGCAACAATGATCTAATAAAAAAAATTAAGGTGAATTCTGTATTTAACTTTGCGTGCAATTTTACCTACTGTAAATATGCTACCCAATTGAAAAGGCAGGCTGAAGATTCCATGGGGTATTTTGCAAACGAAAGTGCTAGCGTGCAGTCTTTGATTAATACAGGAGTGAACATGCAAATTCAATTAACCCTTCAACGCTTATGTTTGTTTCAATTTTCAAAGCCCAGTTTCTCTCTCATTTGCAGACAAGCATGAAACTAAATTAAAAGGAGTAATATATTTCCAAGCCATTGAAGAAGTCTATTATGATCATCTAAAGAATGCATATAAGGTAAACATTATCATTTTTGTTATTTTTATTAATTATTCTATAATAGCACCCAAAATGTGGTAGATGTTGTACAGACATAGGAAGATAAAATTCATGTCTCAAAGAGCTAAAAAGAAAACAAACCCCAAGTCCCTTACATGCACACAAGGCATGGAAACGCATAGAATGTGTAGATAAAGTGGCCAGGGCAATGACTGGCATACCTAATTTTGTATGCAGTCTTGTAGCCGTGTCAGTCCCACGATATAAGAGAGACCAGGTGGGTTAGATATTATCTTTCATTGGGCCAACTTCTGTTGGTGAGAGAGACAAGCTTTTGAGCTTACACAGAGCTCTTCTTCAGGTCTGGAAAACGTACTTGACGTTTCAGCTAAATACAAGGTGGAACAGATGTGTTAACTATTTATGGTAAACAATCTGTTCCACTTTGTATTTAGCTCTGACACTGTTGAGTAAATTTCCCAGACCTGAAGAAGAGCTCTGTTTAAGCTTGAAAGCTTGTCTTCGACACCAACAGAAGTGGGTCCAATAACAGATTTTAGCTTACCCACCTTTTGTCTCTCATACATAATTTTGTTAGTTCAATGTATAAAACAAGATATTGAGACACAGAAGAGATGTACTCCACCTGGCAAGTGATGTGGTCTCAAAATGGGCCAGGGGTGACAGGTACTCCTGAGTTCTAATTCCTGCTGTGCCACTGTCAATCCCTTTGTGGCTTTGGGCAAAAATAAGTCCCTCATCTTACCTTTCCCTCACTATAAAATGAGGATAATAATTAACTTTAATCAAAGGATTGATAGTGTTTATTACTTTACACGAAAGAGAAAAATGGTTCTTCCATTCTAAGTATTGGGGCAGCATTCTGCTATCTCCGCTCAAAAAGTCCCAGTCTGATGAGAGACTTTTTAGATTTTCCAATCATCTGCAAAGGTACCAAGTAGTCGGATCTCATCCTTGATATAAATGTTTAAAAATCAGCAGAGGTTGAAAACAAGGAATTCGACCAATTAGATTTGTCCTCTTTTACATTAATGGAGTTTTCATTATATAAAGAGAACAGTACTTAGATACAGAGCCTACTCCCAGACTTAAAGAACATTTAAAGATTTACTTCTGTGCACAAGGGAAATGTAACTTCTGCAGTAAATCCCTATCCTATACCACCACCCATATCTGGAAAAGAGAGAAATGGTGGTAGAGTATCTGGCAGCATTAGGATTTAGGGAGGACTCGGCAGGCGAGAGATGACCACATGGAGCCTGTCGTATCTGCCACCAGTCCCAGATGCTGAAAATGTGTCTGATGGCACATACACAGAGGTTCTTCCTGAATATGGTGTTTTAGGGGTGAAATATTGGCTCCAGTGAAGTCAATGAGTATTATGCCACTGACTTCAATGGACCAGGATTTCATCCTAGGTTACTAGAGCTGCAGCTACAGGTGGCCTAAATCAGGGGATGTAGTTGTGTTTCTAGCCCAAGATGGGAGTTGATTTAATTTTGAAGCCCTGTGAGGAGTACCCCTGACTAGCATCTGCACTTTGGAAGGACTGTGAGCTGTTTCACCCCATCCTCAAGAAGTGGACTTTAAGAATTAAAATCACTTTTGATCACTTGCTGCAGCAGGTGCACAGGGAAAATTGTGGTTTAGAGATGAAGCAACATTTGGTCTCACATATTGCTGCTCAGTTTAGGAGTAAGTCATACAGTGTATCTGCATTAGGCCTGAATACTCTCAACACCTGTTTCCTGCTAGAGGTAGCAGAATGGGGTTGAGCAAATCCTGAGTTACTCAGGATGAGATGTGAAGTAGCCATTGCTCAACTGGCTTTTTCCTTGAGAGTCTCCCAGTACAGGATTTTACTCACTGTCAATAAACTGCTCTCATGTCATACAACTGATTTTGCTGCTTCTTTTTTATTTTAGAGTCCTAACCCATTACTCACTTTCAGTGTTAAGACTCATGACCGAATATATTACATGGTTGCTCCAACGCCAGAAGCCATGAGGATATGGATGGATGTTATAGTTACAGGAGCAGAAGGCTACACCCACTTCATGTTATAATAAAATGGTGCAAGAGTTCATTCACAAGGCGTATTGCAATAACCCTATACATGAATTTAGCCATATGCAAGTGAATTTGAAAAGCCATATACAATATTGATAACTGTCACAAGTATTCTCCCTATGAGGTGCACACAAACTCTCAAAATCAAAAGATTTTATACACACAAGTGAAAGTAAGATTATTTGCTTCTTTTAGTTGATCATTATAGTAGCAAAAGAACTAAAGCTATTGAAAGTGTCATAGTGTTCTATCATGAGTAATCAAGTCAACTTAAGTATGGTATATTGATTCAATAGTAATTTCTTACAAATTCTATATAGAAGATGTCTTCATAAATACAAACTAAACAGTTTACAGAATTGTTTGTGTGTGCTCATTGGTATGCAAACATTTTAGTAACAGAACAGTATAATAGCATATATTTTTAATATGCAGTATTTGACATTTATAGGTAACTAGATGGCTTTTTAAAATTTGTACTTATATGTATTTTATAAAAATATATATATATATGAAAAAACCCAAACACACCAGCCTACAATACATGTAGTTCTTGTCTTAGTATTTTAAAATACTACAGAGCCAAAGAATGAACTCAAATTGTGAGCTGCGCTTTAGCTTTGTGTAATGGAACAATGCCAAAATTCTTCCTAAATTTTAATATAATTCAATTGTTACAGTATTCTGTACATTTAAATTACCAGTTGCATAAACTGTATGTGTCAAGTTATTTACATAAAGCACAACAAAGAAGCAATAGCTTCACAAAGATGGTCTCTCTCACAAGGTAAAACTGAATGGAGACAAGAGTATCTAACTTAACTTTGCCATAAGTTTTCTGCAATCTCTCTGCAGGAGGCATTGAACTGATTCTCTGGCTGGTTCCTGTAGCAATTTCTGTTGTATGGAGTTCAGTCTTGCCATAGATATGATTCTAGTCTAAAGCTAACGTGCTGAAATCAATGGGTAAAATCTTTGCCCAATTGAAGTCTGCATGAAAACTCCCATTGACCTCAGCCAGTGAGACTGTTCAAAGTATACACTGGCCTAGAATTTCACCGTATGATAGGGTAGAGCACAAAGAAAGGCAAGTTGTGAGAACGCATACTAAAACAGTATTATAAATAAAAACTTTTAAGTAGCAAACATGGCAAAGACCTATTTTTTCATGTATGCTCCTTGTAAATGTTCTCCCTTTTAAAAACTGCTTTCTAGCCCTTGACGATTATATAAAAATAAATTATTGACTAAAACCTGGACTTCAGGCAAATCTTCAAATAGTTCCTTATTTTAGTATTCTGGAGTTGTAAGAGCCATATTGTTCATTTAATTAAAGAAATCACACTAAAAGCAGAAGAAGAAAGTGGCTTTTGATTAAACCAGGGGTGGCCAACCTGTGGCTCCTCAGAAGTTAACAAGCGGCTCCTTGTATAGGCACCAACTCCATGGCTGGAGCTACAGGTGGTGGGGGGATGCTCACTGCTCAACCCCTGGCTCTTCCACAGGCCCTGCCCCCACTCCACCCCTTCCCACACCCTTCCCTCAGCCTGCTGTGCCCTCACTCCTCCCCCTCCCTCCCAGAGCCTCCTGCATGCCACAAAACAGCTGATCGGGAGGTGTGGAGAGGGAGGGGGAGGTGCTGATCAGTGGGGCTGCCGGTAGGTGGGAGGAGCTGATGGGGGGCTGCTGACGTATTACTGTGGCTCTTTGGCAATGTACACTGGTAAATTCTGGCTCCTTCTCAGGCTCAGGTTGGCCACCCCTGGATTAAACAAATTAAAATCTGAAAGCAGAATAAATTATGCTTGCAGAAAGTGTTGCACTTTTAAAATCCTATATCTGGCATGAATGGGTATGAAATTTTTGTGATATGCACAGATCACACATGGTTGCTCTAGAATTATTTTATTGGTTTTGATGTGCGCCAGATTTGACATGATGAATCGGGAAAGATGGAACTGTTATCACCAGGAATAATTTTTATCTTCAATTTCTGTGCAGATTACAGCTACAAGAAACTTGTAATCTAATGATTTTAAAACATAAAAACAATACCAGAAAATAGTTGCTTTGAGTTATATAATTACCAGTATTTTTTTTTTCTGTGATTGTACCTTGATTTTACTTTAATGTATGGTTATACAAGTTTTCTAATAATGATTTTTGTATCCTGCATGATGCGATTAAGACTTCTAAATAAATGTTTTTAAAAATATGCTTGTTTTTATTTTTAAATATTGGCCTGATTTCTCATTATGAAACAGTCTTGCTTTTCTTATCACTATCATCATTTCCATTGCATATAATTAATATTGTTGACAAATGCAAAAAGTAGTTGAAATCTGATGATCCAATCATTTTTTCCATAAAAGAACTGTGGAAAATACATCTTTAAGTATAGGTGTATGTTGTACCTAAAAACTATCTTTTGAAGAGTACTACCTGCCTACATTGCATGTGCATATCTTTCATTAACCTTCCTTCTTTTTGTAATAAACCTTAGTTTGAGAGTTGTGAATTGCCAGCCCTTAATTTTTATTTATCCACAGAACGGGAACAGCAAAAGTTCAAGTTTTTTCCCATGCTTGAAGGCAGAAGATGTTAGTTCAGTCTCTATGGCCTATGTAATCCTTGATTCATCTGCTGAGACTCCCAATAAGGTTGCAAATATAGAGTGGTGGGTTTTGTGCTGTGGACGCCTAAAAGCTGGACTAAAACTACCAACTTTATTTTATATAAACCCTGAAAAGGGACCCTGGCATCTCATTAAAAATTCGGTTGGCCGCCCACAGCTGGGCAGGCAGGCTCCATCCCCGGCAGCTCCGCAAGGCTCCCAGGAAGTGGTGGCAGTCCCTCCAAACCCCAGGCGGAGGGGCTGCTCAAGGTAGGGTGACCAGACAGCAAGTGTGAAAAATTGGGACGGGGGTGGGGGATAATAGGAGCCAATATAAAAAAAGACCCAAAAATCAGGACTGTCCCTATAAAATCGGGACATCTGGTCACCTTAGCCCAAAGGGCTCTGCGCACTGCCCAAGCCCTGAGCTCTGACTCCACAGCTCCCATTGGCCGGCTGTGGAGTAGCACTCAGAGTGGCGCTTGCAGGCAGGGGCAGCGCACGGAGTCCCCTCGGGCAGCCCCTTTACCTAGGAGCTGGAGGGACATGCCGCTGCTTCCTGGGAGCCATGACCGCATGGACTTCCTCTGTCCCCGGCCTCTAGGGTTACCATATTTTAAAAAAACAAAAAGAGGACACTCCACGGGGCCCTGGCCCTACCCCTACCCGCAACTCCACCCATTCCCCAAAGTCCCCGCCCCAACTCTGCCCCCTGCTCCTCTCCCTCCCCTGCTTCCCGCGAATCAAATGTTCGGGGGAAGCCTGAAACAGACCCCCAAGCCGAGCGTCTCTGGCCTGGCTCCGGCCCAGGCCAAGTGGTGCCAGCCGACGGCTGAGCACCGCCAGCCCCAGCGGCTCCGGCTCCAGCCCGGATCCAAGCCCCACGACCCCTCCTTATTTTCCCGGACATGTCCAGCTTTTTGGAATTTCCTCGCAGACGGGGATTCGAGGACCAAAAATCCGGACGTGTCTGGGAAAATCCGGACGTATGATAACCCTACCGGCCTCCCGAAGGCAGTACTGCCTGCACCCCATACCCTCTCTCATGCTTCAACCCCCTGCCCCAGCCCTGACCCCCCTCCTGCCCTGCTATCCCCTCGGCCCCAGCCCTGAGCCTCCTCCTGAAAGCCCCAAACCCCCCCATCCCAGAACCCGCACCTCCAGCTGGAGCCCTCACCCCAACCCCCTGTCCCAGTCCTGAGCCCCCTCCCAAACCCCCCAAGGGAGGGGGATGGCGTGAGCAGGGGGCGAGGCCTTCGGTTTTCTGCAATTAGAAAGTTGGACTCTAGGCGGGAGGAGGGGGATGTTCTCCGGGGGGGAGGCACATGGCCCCCCCGGCACAGCACGGCTCCCCCTGCCTCGGGCTGGCCACGTGCTCCCTGGCGCTGATTGGTGGCGCCTGTGCCTCTGGCGCGATGAGGAACGAGGATTCCCCCCCCAGCAAGAGACGGGCAGGTGCGCCTGTCTCCTACTGAGCATGCGCGGAAGGCGAGCGCCGGAAACAGCCGCGCGCGGACGAGAAAATGCACACCTCGCTTCCTGTTCAACTGGGCATGCGCGGTTCTGCCTGTGCAGTCCCTGGGGTGTGGCCTCCCAGTAGGGAAGCTCGCCGTTGGCGCGTGGGCCGTGCTGGGGTGGAGCTGTCCTGCGGCTTCAGGGGGGGTCTCGTGGGGCAAGGCGGCTGCTCGGTACCGCACAGGCTAGTGCATAGGGTTACCATATTT